GATTTCATCTCACCAATGCGGCTGTCATGTTAAGAATTTTTTTAAGAACATGACAGCCGCATTGGTGAGATGAAATCTGGAAAAACAATCTCGCTAATGGGAGTTTTTCTTCTATCATTTCATTTTTCTTTTTCCTCATTCGCCTTCACCAGAATCACCCTAACTGCTTTTTATACAACTTTTACAGCTAGACATACGTATGTTAATTAGAGTAACTATCATCAGTATGCCAGCTTCAGTCGGGAAAAATTCTCGATGACAACGCTGTTTCTTTCAAATATACCTGAATTATTCCGCTCAAATGATTACGTTTTATTCTTCCCAGTTCCTATTTATTGAATTTGTTTCAAGAGCAGTACCGCTCTAATACATAAAGTATGTGTCATTGCCACGTACAAGGTAAAAAACCATAATTGTAAACTATATAAAATGGGATAATTAGAACATTTTTATTTAGGGTGAATAAAACAAGACTACTTCAGAGCAAAATTATATAACGCTACGACAATCAACATGACTAGTAAGTACAATGATCTCACACAAGTCTCGAGAAGAATGAAGTAAGGAAATCGACGTATAATACAGCGGTCTGTTAGTTGAAGTCAAGAATGCAAGTAGTTGTACCCTGTTGAAACGAGAATGATGGAACATCAACGTTCTAACTGTCTTTTTTATACAATTATAGATCCATTTGATCCTGCGCGAGATGATGGTAAGTTGATTTTACTGAGTCAGTGTCGGATAGGTAGTGTAGAAAGTGAATAAAAGTGTGAGCTTCTCTAATTTTCACAGTATTTTGAGCGTACCTGAAGCATTTTTACTCGAAAAAAAGCGACATTTCGCAGGTAGATAGACGGAACATTTCTCTACTACTGATGTAAAAATCTTGTTAAAATTCAATAAGACTAATTAGTACTCATCAATTTCCAAAGAGCTCCTATCAAATGTCCCGAATTATCCCATTTGTGGTAAGTATGGGGTAATTCGGGACAGTCCAGCCAAAATGGCTGGAAGAAAGTAAAACAACTTTTTTTCAACGGCAAAGGTTTATCTTTCTAATTAAAAATTATACCGTCTTGTAGAGAATTTTGAGCTCTCGTTTTTTAAAAATAGTCCATCTAGTGTCTACCATTTCCCAGTGAATAGTCAAGAGTCGGGATTATATCTCAATACAGGTGTTAGTGTATCAGTATAGAATTCCTTTTAATACAATTTCTCCGGTATTTGCTGGGTCGATACTTCAACGAAGACTTGCCACTACTCGACCACATTATGGAAAAGAATAATAAGCCCTATGCTAAAGAATTTAGATGCAAGCTGGAGTAAAAGAATGCACGTCACATACAAGCTCAGAGGAAACGCTGTTATTGCTTACACTATCAGCATCTATTTAGCGTCTTTTTAAGACCATTAATGAGAATAACATTTCTTTTTGTGAAATTTGATTGATTTAGTTTCAAGCTATTAAGCAATTGTTATATTTTTACCTGAATATAAGAACTGTCGCAACAGCTCTCATACCACTAGAACTTCGTACAAACTTCGCTCAACATAGTAGTCAGGACTTATTATTCTTTTTCATAATGTGGTCGAGTAGTGGCAAGTCTTCGTTGAAGTATCGACCCAGCAAATATCGGAGAAATTGTATTAAAAGGAATTCTATACTGATACACTAACAACTGTATTGAGATATAATCCCGACTCTTGACTATTCACTGGGAAATGGTAGACACTAGATGTGCTATTTTTAAAAAACGTTTGATGTAACATGAAGAGAATTGTACGAAGTTTATGGAAAGTTGAACTTGTTCGTGAGCTGATTGACAATTAAGGTTCGAATGGAATAACAATGACTAAAGAAATCCACACCAACCGGTCACTTTTAAACAAAAGCAAATTCTAATTTCATTATGTAAAAGCCGTCATCATCTACTTTATTTTAGTATTAAAAATTATTTATGTTCTTTTCAAAAAGTTTTCCAGCACATAATTTATTAAAAACGAGTCCCAAAATATCTGAATTTCACTATAATAAACCCAAAATACTAACAAGAGTTTCCAATCGTACGAAATAAAACTTGGAACGTTTCTCTATCAAACAAAAACCCAACCTTGAAGTTTGGCTAAGAAATGAAGGAGTTATTAAAAATTTTTTTCTCGCCCGACTTTTGGGACACCCTGTATTGTGGACTGGACTACTGTTTGTAGAGTCCATCAATTGAAAAAACTGCTTTTCATGGACTCGGACTGGACTGGACTAGGTTATTTTATTCAGTGTACTAGGCCGGACTCAGAATTTTGAGTCCATATGGAACTCTGGTAACTAGTTTGACTGATGTACTGTGCGAACAACCAGAAATTAACTTTTTGCTATATATAGGAAAATGTTTGGATATTTGGTAATAAGTGTGTATTATTTTAATAAAAAGGTAACAATAGATTAATAGGAGACTACTGCTGTCAGCAGACAGAACTCAACAACAAAGTAACTCGTGTGATATTTTTTGCTGTGTTTTCCTCATTTTAGTAAAAATAAAAGGACATTCGGGCTCTACTTTTCACCACTTCGAGACACTTTGTCTCTTATCTACCGCTCTTATCAGTCACATCATATATATAAAATACATGAAAGGTGAGTTTGTGTTATTTTCTTTTAACACAAGGAAAATGAAGATGCCCATGTTTTTCACTATTCTTTCCAGTATATGTTTGGTTCACATTAGTATTGTACTTTCATCCGCGATCGGCGTGCCAAGAACAGCTATCACGACAACAAACACCCCTTCAACTACTACGACAACAAACACTCCTTCAACCACTACGACAACAAACACCCCTTCAACTACTACGACAACAAACACCCCTTCGACTACTACGACAACAAACACTCCTTCAACCACTACGACAACAAACACTCCTTCAACTACTACGACAACAACTACTTCTAGCACAAGAACGCTCCCAACAACTCCCTATCTTCCTTCGTTTAATAAAATCATCATTTTATTGGCACGATATGTTCATCTGCAAACAACACCATCTCCGAGTGATTATGAAGCAGCAATCACCTGTGATGATCCTAGTATCCTTCCCTATGTTTGGACGAATGTCACCGCTGACTCAGCACTCGTCGTCTCAGCTACAACCGATTGCGACGTCACGGTTCGTGCATTTACTTATCAAGAGATACAAATCGAGAGCGTATCAAAATTAGATATGACATCCTATTCATACAAAGGATCTCAGTTAAAACTGATAAGTATGGGAAATTCGGAGATTAAAATTGCGAATATTGGCTATGATTCGGGCGAGTTTACATTTTTGGGCAATAGTACAGTGACCTTAAGCGGTAGCGTTGGTAAATTAAATGTCATCAGCCGAGGTAAAGGAACAATTGATGCAAGGAGCATAACAACACCAAATGTTGACGCAACTCTAACAGGTAGCGGTTCACTTCAAGTGAAATCAACAACTAACATGAATCTAACGGTAAATGGTACGGGAAATGTTACGTGGTGTTCACCGAATGTACAAATAGCTGTGACACCCGATATATATCGAAAAAAAAGTATTGTTTATCAATGCTAAGTCAAAAAGAACAAATTGACAATCAAAAACGCGATAAAATTCTGTTTAATTTTGTTTTTGTGCAGGCAAAATTTTGAGTAAAACATATGATACGGTTTGCAGCAGCTTTAAGCCTAGTCATTCTAATTTATTATTATATACAATGTGACGTTTCTAAATGTACACATTTCATCATCAGACAATGAGATACGAAGTTTACTAAACAGAAAATTTGGTGTAACTGAGAGAAAGTCAAAATATGCACATACATGCTTGTCTTTTCTATTCTTCTCGAAGAAGACAAAAACCACTAGCATGACTGTAAGCAGTTGAATATTGCGCAATATTCAACTATTTACAGTCATGTTAGTAGTTTTTGTCTAAAGTCAAGCATGTATGTGCATATTTTGACTTTCTCTTCAGTTACATCAAATTTTCTGTTTAGTAAACTTCGTATCTCATTGTCTGATGATGAAATGTGTACATTTAGAAACGTCACATTGTATATAATAATAAATTAGAATGACTAGGCTTAAAGCTGCAGTAAATTGTAACATAAAATTAACTCTCTTTTTTTCTTACTTAACCCTATTGCGGCGGAACGTACAAGACTGCTGAGTCTTATTTTCCACTGATCTCGACATCTGCAGATAGTACCTACAATATGATATCGAAAAATACAAGGCTTTTAACGTGGTAACAGGAGAAGGATCTATAGATATGTAGAAAAAACAAAAGAAGCAAACGTTAGAATCGTCCTTGTAATTTCTTGCCCACAAAAAGTCTTACGAACAAGCAGCTCACAAAAGACGTGTAGGTTGTCGCCTAATGGAAACCGAAATCGTCATTTTCTTTGTGGTGAGATGTATGTTTTTCTTGCGTCGTGAATGATGATTCGGAGATGTTTTTTTCGTCATATTTACACCTATTATTGCTAGTGTAAAATCAGCAGATGAAGACATGTCAAAATCAACACATTTAAAGTATAAATTGAGCTTTTACACGTACAGATCTCTAATATAAGAACAATGGCAATATAAATGAAGAAGCACTGTATATTATTAAATGCCGTGTCTACTAATCTGGTATATTTTTTGACAATACTTGCATGCACCTGCGTGGTAAAAGTCATACGATGAATGTTACACATGGGCTTGTATGGTACTCGTCCTCCTTTCCTCCCTTTTCCTCCTAAATTAAATTTTCTCCTCCTTTTGCTATAAGCTTTATTTAATTTAGGAGGAAAGGAGAACAAGTACGATGCAAGCATATGAGTGATTCTGAAGAACTCGGTACTGTTATGTGCCCTCTATCCATCTATATTCTCGATTTGTTTAAACGATTTGATTAAACGAACATTGTTTAAACGATTTGTTTTAAAAACTTTAGTTTAACCTGCGCGGCTCGAACCTTCTTGGAAAATGTCCTGTCCGATAAAAAATAACATTTGAGATGCGGCCTCAGGTATGTAGAGTAAAAAATCGAAGCTAAATCAGATGACAATTTAGCGGTAATCCTGTGTTGGTAGATGGAACACATAGCAGAGAAACGCGACTTAAGTTAAATACGTTAGATTATTATATGTCACCCTTTGTGGGATCAGGATTGTTTTGCCTATGCCACAAAAGGAGGTATGAATGTTGGTAGTGATGCATATTTTGATGAAACATAGAAACATATCCTTGACTATCAGCAAGTTCTTATTGTAGGTCTTGACAACGGCAACATATAACGTTCAATGGAAAATCTTGCGGCGCAACTTTCTCGTATGAAATGCGACACAAAATTGCAACACTTTAGTTTTAGCTTGCATTTGAGTTTAGCGCTAAGCCCATTCTGCATAAACAGACGATAGAGCGGAAAGGGCACCTCTGAATCAGCATGCTACTTATTAACCTTATGCTTAATTGTGTAAAGAAGAGATAAAATTTGATTCAATATTTACATGAGTTAAATGTCAAGTGCGGTCATGTGCATGTGTACTTATATTATTCTTTTCTATTCATACTATTAAATATTTTCAAAAGGCTTTCAAATATAACTACGTAACCTTATCTTTGATGGGATATGTATTTTACAATAAAAGAGCCTTTTATAAATATTTGTTATAGATGAATTTATTCTTACGAGGAAACCGTTCCAACCGTCAAATTGCTTTTTTTATAGAAACATAGTGGGTTATAGGTTATCGACCGTGCTGATTTTGAATATGACTACTGGGACGACTTCTAGGCCTTCGGAGATCCGGTTTTCTAGAAAATTAAGTTCATAGACCGAAAGGCTTTTTCCACTGAATAAATTAAACAATAACTTTTTTCGTTTCGAAATGATTCTATAGCTTCTGAATGAAAAATTATTTTATAGATAGTTTTCAAAAAGTGTCGGGATTTCGAATATGCACTTTTCACAATTTCAATTCACTCCATTTATTGAAAAAATAATTTTTGCGGAAGGCAGCTATGATTCAGTTCATTTCTTTAACTTACAGAGTTCTCGTCTTAATTTTTTCAACAAAAAATATGCATCTTATACATACTTTGTTGCAGCTCGACGAAGTGACTCCAAATGTCACCTTAGCTTTATTTGACAATGCTTTTAAGGTGGAACACAGCAGATTTTACCGAAAAAAATAGGGGTTTTGGGAAAACCTCCAGTATAGTTTGGCTGATCCCCGCAGTTTTTTACATGCGTCATTCCATGGATCGCATATAGGTAGCTCTCTGGTCAAAGGTTGGATCAGATTGAAGGTGGGATGGCGATTTACGGCTTATAATCATTTACCATGATTTTTCGAAAACATTTTTAGCATGTAAAACAGTCTCTTTCACATCATTTTGAAATTGAATCGAAATAATTTTTTGCGATTAGATAGCCCAAATATTGGAGATTTTCTTCTGATGTTTTTTCAATGCAACAATTTCTCAACGTATCTGAAAAAGTTGTATTTCTGGAATCGGAGCGGTTTTTGAGCAAATTTTTCTAGTATGGCTTTTCCAATGTTCCGTTTTAGATAAAAATCGGTCCTTTTTAGGATAAAACAGAGCACATATTGGTGTATTTAATCCATTGTTCAACTTTAGAAAAAAATACTTTCGTCAAATGTCCGGCTGCATACACACGGTGCCTAGTACTGAATAACCGTCAACCATATTAACACACACATCTGAAAGGCGATGAATGTATGACTTTTACAAAAAACTCTTACTAGTTTATTTTAAACATGAAATCAGACACAAAGGCTGGCCTTCCGTGGAATCACTATTCATGTCAAATTGATCACGAGAGATTGACTTTTTCCCTCCATTACTGGTAGCACTCTTGAAGGTCAATCGTATTCCCGTTTCTTTGTTGACAACCATTTAATGTAACACGACATTGATGTTATTTATGTTGACGGTTTCATCAATGATCTAGAAATGCTAATAAAAACTAACTAGTGAATCATCAACACAAACCAGCTGAAGCTAATTTAAGAGAGGGTCCGCGAGAAAACCGACCTGCAAAGGGAATAGTAGCTAGAGCTAAATTTTTTTTCTGTTAGTATTCTAGTTCGAAAGAGCTCATCGAAAAACTAAGAAATCCAAGATATCTCGCCGTCATATGATACTGTTCATGAATTAGGGGATCTTAATTTTTCAGTCATCACCAGAAGCTCCGTTTGTGGATGAACTCAGCTTTTGATTCTGATTCCGAATATAATACTTATAGTGCATAAAACTTGAGTTCTGATAAAGAAAATTGAGAATTATGGGCACAATTGCAAATTTTTTGCCTCTTATTTAGAAAAAATGAATTTTCTCAGCAGTGGAAAGGAATTTTAAGAAAAGCTCTGCGCACTTTTTTTGTCCGTGTAAAGACGAATCGAATGCGGTGTAAATCACAACTCCGTTAATAGAAAAGCTAAATAGGGTCAGGCTGGACTCGCGATTTCTAGATCCAAAATATTAAAAAAAAGCATGTTTGAGAAAAAGCGATTTTTCTAATTTTTGCCTTGTGACTGCCCAGGATGTTACCTTTCACTGTACCTTTTTGCAGCGATTTTGCAGACCAAACATTTCTCTTTCATATGAGATGTGAACGGACCGTAAGGATCAAGCTGTTTCTGAGATATTAAAGAAACATTGATTTCATCCACAAATGGAGCTTCTAGTGATGACTGAAAAGGTAAGACCCCCTAATTCATGAACTGTGTCATACGAAGGCGAGATATCTTAGATTTCTTAGTTTTTCGATGAGCTCTTTCGAACTAGAATACTAGCAGAAAAAAAAAATTTAGTTCCGGCTGATGTAGTCGGTTTTCTCGCGGATTTCCTCCTAAAACTTTTTGTGAAAGTTATTTGTTATAGTGAGTTAATCTGAGAAAAATACCTCGAAAATCAAGTGTATCTATCTAGAGATAGAAAAATTTAGAAATCAGTGTGTTTCGAAGCCTTATTTCAGGACAGGAAGATGCAGAAAGACGACGGAGCTCTTATGGTTCAACGAGATTAAAACAGCATTTTGCTCTGTAAAGTTCTCGTATTTTTTTTATTATTCTATTTATGTTTTTTATTTTTACTATCTTTTATTTGAGACGATTTATATGGTAAAGCTATGTGTTCTTTGGTCACGATGATAGTTTATGACATATCTTTCCAAGTTGGATATTTCTTCGCTGATTTTTTTCTCTTTTCTCTTATTCTTATCAGTTTTATTTACGTTGATATTGAGAATTCTGCAGTTTTTTTAATTTTGGAATATATGCAAAAAAAGTAAATTGGTCCATTCAATTCGCTGTCCCATTCAAAACTATTCTACTCTCAGCGTGTTATAGACCCGCTTGACGTTGGAGATTTTAGTGTACATTTAGATATTGTTTTGACTGAAATTAGAAGTAACACCAAGTATAAGAGTGAGGATCTAATTCTTTTTGGCAATTTTAATGCGCATGTTTATGACTAGTGTCCTGCGAAACCTTCTACTCTAGACGGTAAATTCCTGTACGAGTTTGCTGAGGGCGTACAGCTCAATCAACTTGTGGA